GGGTGCCCTCAGACTCATCCATCCATCAGAGCCATCACTCCCCTCCTCCCTCCCCCACCCCACTCCCCCCCCCCTCATCCCACCCCCCCCCTCACCACATCCCATCCCCACCACCATGCTCCGTTCCCGGTCGCACTTCCGGAGAACACGTCGGGGGAATGTGCTGAAGGTCTCCCGGGAGCACTACCTCCGTGACGACCTCTACTGTGGCATGTCGTCCTGCCACATCTGCCCGGCTGTGCCTCCGCCTTCGCTCCTCGCTCTCTCTGCCCGCCGTGCCGCAGAGGCATCGTCATCGTCATCGTCATCGGCTGCTGCTAGCAGGCGATCGGCGACAGAGTCCCGTACTTCCTCCATTGCTTCGGCCTCGGCCTCTGCTGCTGCGGCTGCCTTTCGCCCGCTGGCGGCGGCAGAGGGTTTTGCGGCCGCTGCGCCAGTCCTCGTCATCGATACCAACATTGCTCTCCATCAGATCGATCTGCTGGAGAGGGCCGATGCCCTTGTCAACATTGTTGTCCTCCAGACAGTTCTCGGTGAAGTCTCGGCTCGCTCGGCGCAGCTCTACTCCCGCCTGAGGGCTCTGACCTCGGACTCGGCCCGCTGTGTCTACGTCTTCTCCAACGAGCACCACCGCAAGACCTACATCGAGCGCGTCAAGGGCGAGTCGCCCAACGATCGCAACGATCGCGCCATCCGTGTTGCTGCAAAGTGGTATCATGACCACCTGGCATCCGTCCCGCTCACCCGCGACCAGCTCGCCGAGTTGCAGCTCGCCAAGGCAAAGATGACCAAGGCCGCCGCTGCCACCGCTCCGGCCAGCCTCGTCCGCAGCATGGCCGATGGCGATGGCAAGGCCCGTAAGGTCATCCTCATTTCGGACGATGTGGCCAACTGCGCCGCTGCCCGAGAGGACGGCCTCGAGGCTTACGGCATTGCCGACTACCTCGCGGCCTACCTCCCGCACGAGCCGAAGCTCCTCGACCTGGTGGCCAAGCCCAAGGCCGGCGCTGGCGGCCGTGAGTTCTCCAGTGGCCGCGAGCCGATCTTCCCTAAGCACCTCGACGAGTCCGAGGTTCTCGCTGGTGTCCGCGCCGGCAAGTACGTGCAGGGCAAGTTCTACCAGGACGTCCGCAACGTGCTGCAGGGCTCGGTGACTCGCGGCGAGGTCGGCGTCCCAGTCCTCATCTCGGGCGTGGTCGACATCAACCGCGCGTTTGACGGCGACGTTGTCGCCGTCGAGCTCTATCCCGAGTCCGAGTGGGCCGCCGAGTCGGATCTGCTCGTCGACGGTGACGCCGCCGCGGCCAACGACGACGGCGACCCGGACGGCGACACGCTCTCCCTCGAGGCGGCGTCCAAGGACGCGGCCCAGAGCGCGGGCGAGATCCGCCCGCGCGGCAAGGTTGTCGGCATTGTTAAGCGCAACTGGCGCCGGTACTGCGGTCATCTGCTGCCGCGCAAGTCGGACCGCCCGGGCCGCCCCTCGCCGGGCAAGTACCTCTTTGTGGCCAACGTCCGCCACCTCCCGCGCATCCGCATCCACACCACCCAGCCGGCGTCGCTGCTTGGCAAGCGGATCATGGTCGCCGTCGATGGATGGGACCGCTACTCCAAGTACCCGTCGGGCCACTACGTCCGGGTCCTCGGCGATGTGGGCGACAAAGAGACCGAGAACGAGCTCCTGCTCCTGGAGCACGACATTTCGTACGAGCCGTTCTCACAGGCCGTCCTCGACTGCCTCCCGCCGTGCCCGTACGTCATCTCGCCGAAGGAGATTGCCAATCGCGTCGACCTCCGCGAGTCCCGCGTGGTGTGCTCCATCGACCCGCCGGGCTGCACAGACATTGACGACGCGCTCCACGTCCAGCGGCTGGCCAACGGCAACTTTGAGGTCGGCGTCCACATCGCCGACGTCTCACACTACGTCAAGCCCGGGACCGCCATCGACGCCGAGGCTGCCGCCCGCGGCACCACCGTCTACCTTGTCGACCGTCGCATCGACATGCTCCCGTCGTACCTCGGAACCGACCTCTGCTCGCTCAAGCCGCGCGTCGACCGCCTCGCCTTTTCGGTCGTGTGGGAGCTGACGCCCGAGGCCGAGACCGTCTCGGTCGCCTTCCACAAGTCAATCATCCGCTCGGTCCACGCTTTTTCGTACGGTGAGGCCCAGGCCAAGATCGATTCGGACGACGACGACGTGGTGGCGCGCAACCTCCGCGACCTCCTCGCCCTCTCGCGCAAGCTTCTCGCCCGGCGCAAGGCCGCAGGCGCGCTCACCCTCTCCTCGCCCGCCGTCCACTTTGAGCTCGACTCGGAGACGTCTGACCCGCTCTCGACCTCGATCTACGAGCTGCGCGAGACGAACTCGCTGGTGGAGGAGTTTATGCTCCTCGCCAACACCACCGTGGCCAAGCAGATCCTTGGAGCCTTCCCGTCATCGGCCATGCTTCGCCGGCACCCTGCGCCGAACCCGGAGCGCTTTGAGGCGCTCATCACCGCCATCCGCGCCTCGTCGCACCTCTTTGACGCCGGCGACGAGCTCACCTTTGACGTCTCATCGAACCGCTCGCTGGCGACCTCGCTCGATGCCGCCACCTCGACGGCCAACCCGTACCTCAACACCCTGCTCCGCATCCTCACCACCCGTTGCATGCAGCCGGCAGCCTACTTTTGCTCGGGCAACGAGGACTCGTACGAGCACTTTGGCCTCGCCGCACCGCTCTACACCCACTTCACCTCGCCCATCCGCCGCTACTCGGACGTCATTGTCCATCGCCAGCTCTACGCCTCGCTCTCCAAGACGCACGAGTCGCACCCCTCGCTCGTCAACCGCAACCTGCTCTCGGCCATTGTCGACAACCTCAATCTCCGCCACCGCAACGCCCAGTTTGCCGCCCGATCCTCGGTCGACCTCCACACCCTCATCTTCTTCAAGGACAAGGTCGTCGTCGAGGACGCCTACGTCCTCGCCACAAAACTCAACGGCATCGTTGTCCTCGTGCCCAAGTTTGGCGTCCAGGGCCACGTCACCTTTTCGCGTGCCGATGAGCCGTCGCCGCTCGACTATGACGCCAAGACCCAGACTCTGCGCCATCCCGAGACCGGCGACCTTGTCCTCGCCATGTTCCAGCCTGTCCGCGTCCGCATCTCGGTCAAGACCAACGCCAACCTCCGCCGCTACCTCAACGTCGAGCTGGTGGAGCCGTCGCTGGCGAGCTTGCTCGGAGTCGACAACGACGAGCCCGCCGCCGGTCCCGCCCCTATGGACGTCGCCGGATCGGACAAGTACTCGCTCGACGACGTGCTCGCTCTCGGCCGCGACGACGACGACGACGGCGACGAGGCGACAAAGTCATCCGAGGCTGCCAAAGCTCCCACCTCGGGCTCAAAGCGCCGCGTTCGCGATGCCGACTTGTCGCAGAACAAGGGCGGTGCCGCCGTGGCCGACGACGAGACGCCGGCCAAGCGCGCCAAGCTCATGCACGATGGCGAGGCTCTTGCGGCTGCGTCGCTGGCTGCTGCCAAGAGTAAGTCCAAGGCCAAGGCCAAGGCCAAGACCAAGGCCAAGGCCAAGGCCAAGGGCAAAGGCAAGAGCAAGTGAGTGAAACAGCTGTAAAGAAAGACCGACAAGGGTGGCTCGTGTTCACTGTGAGGCGGCGCAACTCGTGACGACGGCGGTAGATGATCATTGGGCAGACGAGGTGGCGGCGGCGACGGCGCTGCTCTGCGGAATGGCCTCGCCCTTGTCGCCGGAGATTTCCGAGAGAAGGCGCCACTCGTCCATAAAGTCCCGCTTCCAGAGGCGGACGAGGCCGTCGTCGCCGGACGAGGCGAGAACGGTGCCAGTGATGTTCCACTTGACGCGCCAGACCTGCGAGTGGTGCTGGTCAAAGGTGGCGATGGGCGAAGAGGCAAAGGAGCCCTGCTCGAGACGCCAGAGGCGGACGGAGCCGTCCTTGGAGCCCGATGCAATGAGCTCGAAGCGGCGGCCCATGTTGGGCGCCCAGGCGACGTCGTGGATGGCGTCCTCGTGGCCCTCAAGGCGCTCGACACAGACCCACCGGTTGGAAGAGTCCGAGAACTGGTAGATGAGCGGAGCCGACCCATTGCCACCGGTCACCATCGACGGCGAGGCAAAGCGCGACGGGTTCCACGCAAGGGCGTTGCCTGCGCCGTCGCCAGCGTCGTCGATGGTCTCTGCGACCGACCACGAGTTAAGGTTTGTCACATCCGACGCCTCGTAGATGCGGACGATGCCCTTTGCCGACGTAGCCGCCAGCCGCAGGCCGTGGTGGCGTGGCGCAAACTCGATGTCGTTGACCGACTCGCGAGCGTCGACAAGCGACGCGTACTTGTTCCACCCGCCCGGCCCGTCGTCGTCGCCGACTCCACCGGCCGACCGGCTCTTGCCCGCACCGCCCTCGTTGCCCGCCTCACTGCTCGCACCAGCCTCGCCAGCCGAGCCGCGATCCGACGAGCGCGACGCTGACGCCGGATCGCGCGGCGACGACGGAGCCAGCCGGCGTTCAGGCTCGCCCCAGATGATGACATGGTGATCAAAGGAGCAGGTAGCGAGGACCTGGCCAAACTCCGGATGCGCCCATGCCACTTTCCAGATCGAAGCTGCGTGCGCCTGTGCGTGTGCGTGTGTGTGTGTGTGGGTGGGGGGGGGGGAGAGAGAGAGAGAGAGAGATGAAGATTGAGTAAGTGAGCGTGGTGCGCCAGCAAGAGAGAGAGAGATACAGTGAGATTGCGCGTGGTGGTGTAGTAGCCGGGGTAGCGTCAGCGGTAGTTGCAAAGACGATGATGACTGTCAGTGCGACAATACGCATGATGGCAATACCGACGATAATGAGCATGGTGACGATGACGACCATCGCCCATGACGACCACGACCATGACCACCATGACGACCACGACCATGACCGCCATGACGACCACGACCATGACCGCCATGACGACCACGACCATGACCGCCATGACGACCACCATACGACCATGACCACCAATACGACCACCATGACGACTACCACCATAACCAGCATACCTCCCCCCTCCCCCCTTCCCCCCCCCCTCCCCCCATCCCCATCCCCCTTCCCCCCATCCCCAAGTCGCAGAGCATCACGCCGACAGAGTTGCGGGCTCCGCCCCCCCACCCCTTGCCAGCACTTGCTGTTAAAGCATGCCACGCCCGGGGCTGCTTCCAGCATGGCCCCCTCCGATGGCAGCCTCGTGTTGTCGACCACCACCAGCGTCGCTCGTGCCATCGGGATGTACAGCACCGGTGCATTCCTGAAGATCATACGCGTAACGAGCGCACAAGTCGAGAGTGCTTCCCCGCCCCTGTGAGCACGCCCGGCGGCGAAAGGACCCTCGCCGTAGCCGCCAGACTGGTCAAGGCAATGGGCGAAAGATGGTCCGAGGCGGACTGAGACTGCATCATTGACGAGGATGGAGGTCGAGCGCACTCGGATGCAAACACCTTGGTCTCGACATCTGACACGTCAAAACTCGAGGGCAGCGCCCGTCGCCATGAGTTCCCTCCGAGATCCCACGTCAACCAAATGCTAATGATTCTGGAACGAGAT